TGTCACTTTTGATCAATTTAATGCATCCTTGCTGAATAAATGCATTCATTTCTTTTGAAAAAAAAACAAAAACTACAGACCCTAAACTTTTAAATAATAGTGCATGTAATATAGAAGCCGACAGTAACTTGTGTGTGTGTGTGTGTGTGTGTTTGTGTGTGTGTGTGTGTGTGTGTGTGTCCATGCAGGAGGAGTTATGTCGGTGTGGAGCTGGTCCAGTGGCTCCTGGAGCAGTGTTTGTCGGTTCAGTGCAGGTTAATGGCGTCTCGTGTCTGGCAGGTGCTGCTGGAGCTGGGAATACTGCACTCAGGTTAATAACCTGTCTTATTTTACTATCATTGAAATGCTGTTAGAATTTATGTTGATAGTTATTTTAAATGTTCTGTTTTCATTTTATTTTAGGAAAAGTTTTAGTAAAAAAAAAAAAAAATTATTTGAGCTATTTTAGTACTTCAACTTAACAGTTTTTTGTATTTTATTTCGTTTAATGTTTATTTTATTTCAAATTAAAACATTTTATGGTTTTAGTTTTAGGTAAACACACACTACATGTTTGGAATGTAATACTTCGTACTGCTACATTTTTAGAATTTAGAATTTTCTGTATGCAGGCTTGAATAAAGGAATGTAATATTGTATGGAATATGAAATACAGTGCAGTATAGAACTGGAGCACACTGCATGGAATACTGTATAGTGTGAAGAATCAGCTGTATATATAATGGAGCTGTTCAGTCATGATGTATGTTTGTAGGTCAACCCGGGAGGCAGATTCGCTGTGGGATCCCTCTGGAATTTCTAATGGGTTTTTGGGGAACATTTCCAGTGGGAAAATGCCAATTCTCTAGGACCGCAAACTTGAACAGCTCTATATCACATCATATGTGTGCCGTGTTATAAATCCCTCTCTGTCGTCCCCTCAGTCGACCAGCGGCTGGTGTTTGAAGACTCCAACACATATTATCAGTTCTCGTTCGAGGAGTGCGACGCTCAGGGCTGTGAGTTTCGCAACGAGGAGGAATGGCAGAATGGCGTCCGTCTTCTGCTGCAGCTCGTCCCCTACGTCCAGTTCAGGGTTGTCAGCCCGTAAGTATAAACAATATGCATGTTACATGCTATATATATATATACAGTGGGTACGGAAAGTATTCAGACCCCGGTATAGAAAAGAATCACCCCCTTTAAAGTGCCCCTATTATGCCGCAATAAAACTAATATTTTTAATATTTTCGAATATATAAAGTGCCCCTATTTTCGAATATTACCTTTCATGCAGTGTGTCATGTAGCTGTATGTGAACATAAACTATTTTTGAGAAAACTAACGTGTTTTTTGACCTTGCATGCATGTAAACCTGTTTTAGGAGACTCATAAAACAATATTAGCAACCTTAAAAATGGCATAATAGGGGCACTTTAAAATAATCACATTTTGTGATATGTTATAAGTAAATACAGCTGGATAAAACAAAACTGTGTCCGTCTTCATTTCAGGCTGCAAAGCAACAAAATGTGATTATTAATATATATATATATATATACACACATAGTATCAGTGTTTCACATTATTTAAAGAAATAGTATGCAGTGTGTAGTATATACTGTGCAGTGCACTAGTTTCCATCATTGTCTTTCATGCGTTCGTCTGATTTGGATGCAGCAGGAAACAGATTGTTCTCGTGACCTTTTGCTTTGGTTTTCCTGTTAATCCTGTTTAACCACAAATCATCCTCATGGAAGAAAGAAATGAAATATGTGTGTGTTTGATTTGTGTGAGTGTATATGAGCTTTTAGTTGGGTATTTCTTTCTCATGTAGAGGATGATTAAAAGTTTGGGGGCAGTACGATTTGTTTTTAAAGAAATTAATGCTTTTATTAATCAAGGATGCATTAAATTTATCAAAAATTTATAATGTTGCAAAAGATTTCTATTTCAAATAAACGCTGTTCTTTTGAACTTCCTAATCATCAAAGAATCCTGAAAAATAAAATGGTTTTCACAAAAATATTGTGCAGCACGACTGTTTTCAACATTGATAATAATCAGAAATATTTCTTGAGCAGCAAATCAGCATATTAGAATGATTTCTGAAGATCATGTGACACTGAAGACTGGAGTAATGATGCTGAAAATACAGCTTTGATCACAGAAATAAATTACATTTGAACAGATATTCACAAAGAAAACAGCTGCTTTTAATTATAATAATATTTCACAATTTTTAAAGTATTTTTGATTGGAAAATGCATCTTGGATGAGCAGAAGAGACTCATAAACGTTACAAAATCTAACCGACCCCAAACTTTTGAACAGTAGTGTATTTCTGTATAGTACTATCACAATAGGGTTTCCACATAGGTAATTATTTTATTAAAGTGGTTTAAGTGGTTTCCAACCCCCCTCAAAATCCCAAAATATCTCCTATATATGTCTCCACACCTCCTAAAAATGTCCATGTGACGTCCAAAACAAAAGACATGGGAGGTGTATTCTCCCTTTTATATTAATCACAGTTATATGCATTTTATGATTTGCATGTTTTCCTGTTGTCCACGACCCAATTATAACAGACCTGCGTCCCAATCTTGGGTCATTGAGTCCAGCTCAATTCGATTCAACCAAGTTAAGTGTAGATTAAAGTATTTGATTGGCTTAAATGTGTCTTCGGTGCAGACGATGAGATCGCTTTTGAGCAAGATTCGATTCAGCGGGGCTGTTTTGTTAGCCGTGAAGGCCGAGGAGGATGATATCGCAGAGAGATGTGAACCGCCAGATTAGATCTGAGTAGACAGCTGATGGCAATTTCAGGAAGGTGAACATGGGACGGCGTCCCGCGTCCACGGCAGCAGTTTTTTTCCCTCCCTGACAGAATTGGAAGTGACACGGTTTGGCCTCGCTGATGCCGGGCCGTTCGATCGGGTTCAGAGTCCCTTCGCCTCTGCGTTTCTCATCACGCCGCATGCAGATGGGAGTGTATTAAAGCAGAAATGAGATCCTCGCGCACAAGCCAAACAAATGAGATCAAACGAAAAACTCATGCGAGTCTGCTGATATTACCGCACTGCAATACCCTGAATCTACAGCCTCACGGCGAAAGAAATGATCATTTCCCCGAGTTTTGAGCTTGCAGTTTGAATTGAATGTGATGAGATAAAAACACAGGATGATGCTGCAGAATAATTCAAAGAAAATAAACAGACAATGCATCTTTCTGTTGCGCTGCATGCAAAAAAACAAGCAAACAGCACGACTAGTGTAGTTCGATTCATGAACAAATGACTCGTTTGAGTCATCACCAAAAAGACTCAGTTTAAATCAGTCTTAAATCAGATTGTAGATGTTGCATATATTATTTAGAAATCCTGGACTATGACATCATATCCTGTTGCCCATATATGTTGCATCTGACAATTAAGGCCACGTTTGGTGGTAATTTTTGTCTGTCAAAATGAAAAAATACCTCTGAACGGTTGTGTGGTTACAGTTTTTACCAGCTGTCGGGACTGGTTAGGACTAGTTATGGGCAGAACAATTCTGTAGAAACTATTTGATATTGACACTGTAGTGAAAAGAGACCTTGATTATATCAGAGTGAATGACACGACATGTAAAAGACGGTAAAATGAGTCTGAACTTTGTCACTGCTGCATTTTTTAGTGGTTTTATAAAGGACCAAACCTGCAGAAATTTAGATTTACATTTTCTGTGTTACTTTCCCCCCTTTATTTATTTTCTTTATTTTAACCGTATTTTTATGCTTTTATTTTTTTTTTTATGTTGATGTGTTTTTATATATATTTATTTATTCCCATAAATATTTATTTCAATATTACAAATAAATATATAAACAAATACAAAACAAATGAAAGAAAGAATAAAATATAAAGTTAAAAAGAATAAACAAAGTTAAAAAGAAATACAGAAAATAATTAATAAAGGACAACGTAATACAAAAAATAATTAAGGACTAAAAAAAAATGAATTGCAATTGTTTTATCAAGTCATTTATTCCTTTATTAATTTTCCTATTATTACATTTATGTATTTTTTTATTTGTTTTTATTATTTTTATATTTATGCATTCATTTATTTTCATATTTATTTATTCCTGCATGTATTTATTTCATACTACAAATAATTATACAAAAAAAATCTAAATGAATGAAAAAATAAATATAAAATAAGGTCGGAAAGAATAAAGAATAAATATAAATAAATACATTATACAGAATTAAAACTAAAATTACATTTTGATTTTAAGTAAAATGTAAATAAATATAAAAAAGTAATACAAAAAATGTATTTAGAACTAAATTTAATTCAAATGAATTGTATTTGTTTTATCAAGTCTTTATTTTATTATTTGTTTCTGTTATTTCTGCAGGTTTGCTCCTGCGTATGGTTTTGTTTTGTTGTTTGTTGTGTGGTGTGATTGTGGTTTCTGTTGTGCCGGTCGTGACCGTCTCTTCGGCAGAATTGAAACCCCTGGAGCTACAGGAGTGATGCTTTTAGCCAGGATTGTTTGGATACTGCCTCGCTTTCAGCCTCCTACACACACACACACACACACACACACACACCTACACACACAGTCTGGTCAGCTATCCTTGTGGGGACTCTCCATAGACGTAATGGTTTTTCTACTGTACAGACCGTATATTTGAATTTTCTCTTCAGCTCTGTGAAACTAGTAATGCTTCTGTGTGCTGAATGAGCGTGCATTTGCGTATGAGTGTGCGTTTATGTCTACATTTGCCTGCCGTGTGCATTTGCGAGCCTGTGTGTTTGTGCAAGTGTGTGAATTGCAATCTCATGCAATCGTGCCTGATTCGTTTAGAAGTCGCCGCCATTGTGAATCACTTCAGCCGCCGTGTCTGGTGGAGGTAGAGACAGACGAGGAGGAGAGATGCATGGTGTGATGAAAGCACGTCAGTCGCTGTGATGAATGGACTGACGGCGCAGGAGAAGGAGGGAAACTTTGGCCCACTTCTCAAACTCACTGGCCCAGTTTGAGCTGTGTGTGATACTGTGTGGAGGTTTACGCTCCACAAGCGCTTTGTCCCGAATTATAGCAGTTTTCAGGCTTTGGTGTGGTTTATACCTGCTCAATCTGCTCTTTACTCCTAAAAATAATAAGATAAGGTCAATCCCCAAGGAATCATAAAGCCTATGCAAAAACCCTTTTTGGTGAGAAATAAAAACTTTTAAAAAGGAACACAAACATTTTTTATTTTGTGTATGTAATTATATAATTATTATTATTAATTTTATTTATTTATTTATTTTTTGGAAAATATTCTGGTGCTGTAAAGAACCCCAAGCATATATATTTTATATATATAAAATATATATATTTGTTTATTTATTTATTTTGTGTATGTAATTATATAATTATTATTATTAATTTTATTAATTAATTTATTTTTTGGAAAATATTCTGGTGCTGTAAAGAACCCCAAGCACAGATAAAAAATAAAAAATATATATAAAATATATATATTTGTTTATTTATTTGTTTGTACAATTAAAAAATTAGAAAAATATACATCATAAAACTGATTTTGTAAATTTTATTTTTATTTTTATTTAATTTTAGTTTTATATTAAATATTTATTTTTAAAATTTTATTTTTACATTTATTTTTCTAGTTGTTCAACTAGTTATGAAAAATATGTTAAATAATATAACAATATAAAACAATACATGTAAAAAAATTTATTTTATTTTTATATTAAATATGTATTTTTAAAACCAATTTTTGTTGAATGTTTCTAGTTGTGCAGCTAGTTATGAAAAATATTTTAAATAATATAATATAATATAATATAATATAATATAATAATGCACAAAGAACTGCATAGTATATATTTTTTATTCTGGTGCTTTATTGAAACCAAAACACTGAGCTGAAGAAATTATATAATGAAGAACTTTTCTTTAATTATTAAACAAACAAACATAAAGACTTTACCTATATTTTGTCCATCAGACGTTAACTGTGGATTCAGCTTCATGTGTTTCATGTCAAAAGCAGAGTTTGATCTTCATGTGTGTTTTGGAGCCTGGTGTAATGCAGTACAGCAGGAGGAGGCAGTAGAGAGCCGAGGGCTGTTGATTTAATATTGTCATTAATATTTAGGCTTAATTTATTTTTATTTCAGTTTTAGTTTCATTTGAGTTTTTATTTATTTTATTTCCAGACAGTAATTTTAATGCTACAACGGAATAAATGAAAATGAGAAATGTTGCTTTGGAGACGAGCTGAAATAGTTTTTATTAATATTATATTATAGTTTTTTTATCGTTAACTATTATAGTTTTATTCATTTGAAGGGGTATTTATTAATATTTTAAATTTTTATGCTTTCAGTTTTCATTTTATTTTTTGTTAATTATTTAGTAATTTTGTTATGTGCTTTTTTTCAATTTGATATATTTTTTAAAATCTTACTATTTATTTATTTCAGTTTAGTTTTTTTAATTATTATTATTTCCAATTTTAGTGCTTCAACTTTAGATGAAAATGAGAAATGTTGCTTTGGCAACTAATGGAAAAAAGTTTTATATTATTTTGCATTATATTATAGTATCAGCTATTATGGTTTTAATAATATTTTGAATTAGTATTTATTAATATTTTAATTATATTTTTAGACCTTCAGTTTTCATTTTAACTGTAGTTAATTTTTTTGTTGATTTTGTTTTGTGCTTTTGTCATTTTATAACTTTTTTTAAAAATATTACTTAATTTATTTTTATTTCAGTTTTAGTTTTATTTACTTTATTAAGGAATATAGAAATTTTAGTGCTTCAGCTTTAACTAAACGAAAATGATAAATGTTGCCTTGGCAAGATTTATTTTATTTTTTATTTTATTTTATTTATTTTTTATTTTTTATTTTTTTATTTTTTTATTTTATTTTTTTATTGCAGCTTTTTTTAAATGAACAAAAATAGTTTTAGTTAACGATAATAACCCTGTTTCTAGGATAGATAGATTCACACGTTATGATATTCTCCTGGAAAACTGTCTCACAGTCAGCGGTCACTGCTGAGTATACTGTCTATACTGCACAGTATAGGTAATATACTAGTATTCATTGGTAGTGCACTTGCATTTTTGTCCCAAAAGGTGCTTTAATTCCTTGCCGTCTTCCTCCAAGTCCACAATTGATGAGTTAATGCTGCTTATTCTGACAGCAGTAATCCATATTAGTGCATACTTGGCCCAATTGTGCATCAAAGGCGCCTCTGAACCCTCACATGAAGTGCATCATTTGGGACGGGGCCGACTCTGTGCATGACATCTGCTGCTTGTCTTGCAGAATATCACTGTCAGAGGTCGGCTCACACGGGACAGTCCTGCATCAGAGGTGTTTTATCGTGTGTGTGTGTGTTTTCTCTCTTGCAGACCCGAGGAAGACCCAGACAGGAAGCGTGATATCTGCAGCGAGATCCTGCAGATGAAGGCTCTGGAGAGACTCACGTCCACGGTAAGCGTCTGTGTGTGTCTGCTGACCCCTGACTCAGTGTCTTCAGTGCCCTGGTGTGTGTAAATATCCACTGCAGCCTGAAAGAGCCTCATCCATCACACAGACTCTCATCTGACACCAGCGGACACTCACCGCTCGCTCTCCACCAGAACACTGCCACAGCTCACCATCAGTGCTGCTTACTGTTCACTGTATTCAGATCTAGCAGAAAAAACTCATTTGACAATTTCAGAAATATCATGGAAATTAACAAAAATCTCAAATCATGAAATTTTCTAAATGTATTTTTTTAAACAAAAATTGTATTGTTTATTTTTTTCCTTTGTGCTTTTTATTATATTTAATTATTTACGACATTAAAAAACATTCAAATAAAAAAAGCAAAAATAGACAGCGAAAAAACTATGAAGAAAAGTAATGCAAAAGAAACTAAAACTAGTATTTTATGGTGTAATGCATTATGTTTCAGGAGGTTATATTACAATAATAATAATTATATACATGTTTAAGACATTTTTTGGTTAAAAAATTTTTTAGGAAAATTTCATGACTTGAAGATGAAGATTTAGTTAATTTTCGTGATATAAACAGTAATCAATAAGCAATTTGTTGCCAATATATTTTAATGTGCAAAAGTGTTTGACCAAATTTGCACATAATATATCTGTCTCTTTCTTTAATTAATTAAAAATAATTTGAAAATGTCCAATGATGAAATGCAAAAGAGCTTTTCAATTAGTTTGTATGTCAGCAAATTAAATAAAAAAGTAATATATATATTTAAAATATTTTAATATATTTGTCTAGTTATGTTCAGCTAGTAAATATGTGTAAACAAATATAATAAAATATTTCAAATAAATGTATTAAAATAAATATATTGGCAACCAATTGCTTATTGATTACTTATTATATCACGAAAATTAAAATCTTCATTAAGTCATGAAATTTTCCTAAATAATTTTTTCACCGAAAAATGTCTTAAACATGTATATAATTATTATTAATGTTACATGTTACCCCTGAAACATAATGCATTCCCCAATAAAACAGCCTGATTAGCTGCTTCACTGGTAACCATCAGCACATTTCCCACAATACATCGCAAATAAACACAAATGTTTAGCTTTAATGAGCTATATTGATTTCTGAGTATATATATAATAGCTTATGATATACACTACCGCTCAAAAGTTTCTCTTCTGCTCATCAAGGCTGCATTTATTTGATCAAAAATACAGAAAAAAACAGTAATCTTGCAAAATGTTATTACAATATAAAATAATGGTTTCTATTTTAATATACTTTAAAATGTAATTTATTGCTGTGATGCGCAGCTGTATTTTCAGCATCATTACTCCAGTCTTCAGTGTCACATGATCTTCAGAAATCATAATAATATACTGATTTATTATCAGAGCTGGAAACAGTTGTGCTGCCAAATATCTTTTTGGAAACTGATACTTTTTTCTGGATTCTCTGATGAATAAAAAGTTAAAAAGAAGAGCGTTTATTTAAAATAGAAATCTTTTCTAACAATATACACTACCGTTCAAAAGTTTGGGGTCAGTACATTTTTATTCTTTATTTTTTTTGAAAGAAATTAAAACTTTTATTCAGCAAGGATGTGTTAAATTGTTTCTGATCAAATAAATGCAGCCTTGATGAGCAGAAGAGACTTCTTTAAAAACATTACAAGTCTTACTGATCCCAAACTTTTGAGCGGTAGTGTAGGTTAAATGCCTAACTGGTAACTGTGTCACCAAACTGAGTTGATTCCCTCTTGACTCAGTGTTGAATCAGTGTTAATATCCACACAGCTGTCCTCCTCCAGTATCCCATGAGTTCATTCACAGCTCTTCTCTCTTGTGCTCTTGTGTTTGTAACTGCTGTGGATCGGCTTTGCTCTAGAGATCCTCTTGTGCTTTCATCGCTCCGATGTAGAATAAAGTAAAGCCGAGGTTCTCTTGTGCTTTAACCGGATTACATTCTAAAACTGTGTTTTGATTTTTTGCCATAGGTGCAGAATGAACTTGCTGCTGCTCTCGCAAGAAAAGCCAAGAAGTCGAGTAAGATGCTTTTATATTTATTGGAGTCATATTAAACTATTTTTGACCACTTAGTCAGGTTTTTTGCAAATATTTTCTCCAGTGTCAGAAGATGAAAGTTCAGAGGCATCAGACGTTTCTCCTGTTTATTTCTTTGTTTTAAATATTTATTTTACCTTTATTTTAAAGATTTATTTTGTCAATTTTAATGTAGTCCAAAATAAAGCTTTAAAATAAATGTATAAAAGTTTATTTATTTATTTTTTGTTTATTTGTTTGTTAGTTTTAAAGGTTTATTTGGGCAATTTTGCCTTTATCTAAAATAAATTTAGCCCAAAATAAATGTTTAAAATAAATAAAAATATATATTTATTTATTTATATGCTTGTTTGTTTTATTTTAAAGATTTTTTGTCATGTAGCCAAAAACAAATCTTTAAAATAAACGTTTTCAAAAAATATTTATTTATTTTAAACATTTATTTTGGCCATTTTACCTTTATTTAGATAAAATATATTTAGCCCAAAAGAAATCTTTAAAATAAACAAATTAATAGATTCATTCATTCATTCATTCATTCATTTATTCAAAAGATTTATTTTGGCCTTTGTTTGGATCAAATGAATTTAGCCCAAAATAGATCTTTAAAATCTTTTTTTTTTTTAAATAAACTTATTTATTTCAAAGGTTTATTTTGGCCATTTTGCCTTTATTTAGATAAAACAAATTTAGCTCAAAATAAAGCTTTAAAATAAATGTGTTTGTTTAACAAATAAATTTGTTTATTTATTTTAAAGGTTTATTTTGGCCTTTATTTAGATAAAATAAATTTTTCTCAAAAGAAATCTTTTAAATAAAGAAATCCGCTTTATTAGGTTACTTTTATCATCACTTTAAATATATTTTTCTTTAGCTTTTATTAGTCTTCTTGTATTGTTACTTTAAACATATACATCATTGTCATTATTAGGATTCTGTTCGATGCGCTAATGATGCAGAAATTGTTCTCAGCAGCTTTAACTACAGCGTTTTTACCGTGCACCACCACTCGTGTCTTGGTGACCATTTTTAACCTCACTTCCGTAAAGTCTTGGTTATATTCTGACATTTTTGCATTTTAGAATTAGAAGAACGACGATAAGGTGACTGTGAATTACATTTGTTTGTTTGGTTACTGTTATTCAGCATGCTTCAGTTTAACATGCTAGCATATACAGTGCTGCAGGCAGTAAGCAAGCCAACATACATGATACAGCGCGCCGAAATTCAGCAGGCAGATAAATGCACAGCAATGTTAATAATGTAATACATTTTCTCATTAAAAAATACATACGGGAAATTGTGCAGTCAGACGGTCATTATCGTGAAATAAACCCTGACGTGAAGCGCCTACTTGGCAAATGAATGGACATGAAATATTGATCTTGACTTTAACTTGTTTTAATTTTAATCAGCATATTAGAATGATTTCTGAAGGATCATGTGACACTGAAGACTGGAGTAATGATGCTGAAAATACAGCTGCACATCACAGAAATAAATTACATTTTACAATATATTCAGGTAGAAAACAGCTATTCTGAATCGTAATAATATTTCACAATTTTACTGTTTTTACTGTATTTTTAATCAAATAACTGCAGCCTTGGTGAGCAGAAGAGTCTTCTTTCAAAAACTTATTCTCGGTGATTCACAGAGAGCGAGAGCGTCTTAATTCAATTTGAACTTGCTTTTCATGAGGTGACATGCTTGTGTAGACGTTTGAGGTTACATGTGCAGTCATGTTTATTTCATAAAGCGTGTGTGTGTGTGTGTGTGAGAGAGAGAGTGTGTGTGTGTGTGTGTGTGTGTGTGTGAGTGTGAGAGTGTGTGTGTGTGTGTGTGTGTGTGTGTGAGAGAGAGAGTGTGTGTGTGTGTGTGTGTGTGTGTGTGAGTTCATTGGAGTATTTACAAGAATAATTCTCACTGAAATCGATGTGGAGAAGGCAGTCTTTGGCAGTGAGGCTCTCTCTGAGATTCCTGTACTCATTGTACTGCCAGCGAATATTAAAAATGTGTCTCCTGATGTTAAAGAGCCTGTCCTGGAATTGTGCCACGAGCTCATCCTCCTGTATTGGAATATCTTTTTTGACTGTGATTGTACTTGTTCTTGTCTCTCCACCTTGCAGTGAGATGTTCACCTTCTCCTGGCACCACTGGCTTAGTCACCACTCTACTTGAAGACCTGTTTAGGGGATAGGCAGAAAATTTGCAGTCCAAACAATCACCATAAGCACATGTCTTGGAGGTGCTGCAGACAGTGCTGTCGGACATTTCCTCTAAGTTTCTGGAGTCTGAAATGCCAAGTCTGTATAATTTGTCAGCCATGAACTGCAAGTTTTCGTGTGTCTTATACTGGCACGTCTCTCTGTCTCTCTCATTTGGTGGAACCACCCAAAATGGTCTCTGACGGCAGAAGAAAGCATAGGAAATATGTTGGTGCTCAGATACATATTTCCTGTCTCTTAACCGTCTTTAGAGTTAGTGTGTTCTTCCTCCCTGTAGTCAGTCTGCTGACATCATCCCTGAGGAAAAATTGTCTGACAGATTTTACAGTCTCCTTCTGTATGCTAGTTTCTTGGACTTGCTTTGTTTTTCTGATGGTTCGAGAATCACAACCGATGAGCTTCTTGCAGTATGTCTTGCATTTGTATTTTTTGATCAGCTTCTCTGATACCAGCTGTGCAAGACTTTGTTTTGACTTTGTGTCTTTAAAACTTTTGTATTTGTATTTCAGTGCTCCCAAAACAGCGAAGTGATATTTCAGGGCTTTCCTGACTTGGGTGTTGGCTCGCTGACCTTGAAGAATTCTTTTTGTTTTAACTTCTGGGCTGTCAAGATTTGCACGCTGCAGTCGTATGTTATGTTTCTTCACCTATTCATATCTTCGTTTCCAAGTGATGATCTTGTCTTTCAGTTTCTTTATCTCCCTTTGTTTCCTTTGTGCATCTCTCCTATGTTGTCTCCTCCCTTGTTGTAGTTGTCTGTAAAGCAAAAATATTTTCTTGAAAAAAAGTTCTGACTCATTTCACCCTAGCTTGTTTCTCCTTCTCTCTTGCTCTCTCACTGTATGTGTCTCTTTTTCTGTGTGTGTGTGAATGTGAAGAATAGGTGATAGGGAAAGAGTTAGTGCAAAAAGGGTATGTGAGTATTGGTGTGAATATCCAGGGAAGCAAATCCAGATGTGACATATGATAATGTAAATGCTGTGTGTGTGTGTGTGTGTGTGAGAGTGTTAGCGAGTGTCAGTGTATGTGAGAGACAGTGTGTGTGTGTGTGTGTGTGAGAGTGTTAGAGAGTGTGTGTGTGAGTGTATGAGAGAGAGAGAGAGAGAGGTGGTATTGTATGCTATGCACTTTTATAACTATGTTTCACAGTTTAACCGTTGATTTCTGTATTTGTAACAGTTCAGTTTGTACCTTGAAATGCTGGGTGATCTATCTGGTGATGATGGGGGGGTCAATGCTCCTGCTCTGACTCTTTGCCTGCATCTTTGCTGACGGACCCTCCATGCCTTACGTTCACTTCTCTTCCCCCTTTCACTTAAATTGCTTATTCTCTTTCTCTTTTTTGTTTCAATGTCTCTGACATAACTCCGTTTCCTTTTCTGCAAGTATTCTGCTCTACGTTCAGGATCAGCATCCCTACGCTGTCTGTAAAGTCGCTGCTTCTCAGCTGCACTCAATTTAGCCATACCTGACCAAAGGAGGATTAACAATGATAAATAAAAGTTAGAATCACAAAATCATAGTGCTATTTTATGCAAAAGAACTAAATTAATAGCTTTGAATTAAGTTTATCTAAAATGGGAGTCACTGATGTTACTGATCGTCACTGGTGTTACCCATAAAGAAGGTAACACTAGCGACAGTAACACCAGTGACAATTTTCATGAAAAATGCATTTTACAAAATGGCTGCTGCTAGGTATCAAACCACTTGTTGTCAATCATGGTATACTCTCTAAATTAAGTAATTTAATCCAATTGTATTCTAGTTTTTTTTTTACAATTCCCTAACAATAAAGTAGGTCACACCAGTGACGTCAAGCAGGCTGAGATCTGATTAGTTCTCCTCTGTGGTTACTGGACTCTCATTAGCCCATAATTACAGTGAAGGTAATAACAGCTCTGTCTCGCTCTCATTATCTTCTCGTCTGCAGTACATTCAGTTGTAGTCTCAAACTCCATATTTATGTTTACTGAAGACAATATGAGTCATGCAGACCCGTTTACATCTCTTACGCGCTAGGGTTTCCTGATACCGTCCATATTTTAGTGAATGATACCAAAAGTGTGCAATATACAAAGTACAAAATTAAAAACTAAAGTATTACAATGCGATTCATGCTGTTTAAGTGTGTTGTTTCTTATAGCATGAGCTGAATGTTGTGGCTATTGTGTTGTTGCATTAATTAATGCAGTTTACACAATTATTACACAGTTATTGTTATATTAAATATTATGTAAAAATAGTTAATTCTATTTCATTTATTATAATTATTTTATTTTTTTAATATAAT